TTCACCCGGTTCTGCTCTTTAAAGGAGGCGCGGCAGCAGCGCTCCAGCTGCGCTGCACCACACAGAACTTTTCCTCCACGCTCTCTTAACAGATGAAAAAGGAGACAAACAGCAGACGTTGCTTCACAAAAAATAAATAAAAAAACACGTATTGCTTCATCTGCAGCTCATCCAAGGAGTAACGACGTCTCTACTGTTATTAAAAGCTGGCACTGGTCCGTCCTGAGGCACAGAAGAGCTTTGTTTACATTTGTAACAAGGAGGTAGAGCTGAAAGTTTACAACACTGCTCATGACTTTTATTCTGAATAAAAGTCCGGTGCATGTAAACACTTTTCACGATCGGACTGTGTCCATGTAAACAGTACATTCAGATTATTTAATCCAAATACATTTCAATCTGATCAAAAAAGTCTGTGTATGTAAACATAGCTACTGTTACAACAAAGAAAAAAAAATCTACCAAACACAAATTTCTTTACTTTTTTGTACTAAATATATATCTTCAAAGAGCTGTCTGCTGCAGGTAAGATATTGACAGCYCATAACCTTGTCCAGCGTATCCCATAAATAAAGGGCTGAAAGTCTCCCTTTAAAAGGACAACATGTCCAATCAGTTCAGGTGGGAGTTGCTCCTTTTCTCCGGTCACCCCCACGCGGCAGGACGGAGCGGTGCAGCTTTGAACGCAGCATCCCCGCTCTCCCTCCCTCCTCCTCCTCCTCCTCCTCCTCTCTGTGGTGGAGTGTGCAGCCTGAACCTGACAGCATGCTGGGACTGCGCGTTTCCAAAGAAAAAAAGCTCAGCTTCCTCTCAGTTCTCCGTCCGTCTTTTTGCCGCTCTCATTGTCTTTTGTCGACAGTGATAAAGAGAGCCAGGTACCGTTTGTCCAATTCGCCAATTTATCACCAGCTGCCTTTTTTTTCTTCCCCTTCCTCCTTTTCTTTTTTGTCTTTGCCACTCTTCACAGATGTTGTGTCAACACTTTCTGGGCTGGTGTGTGTGTTTGTGTTTGTGTGTGCAGACCGGGAGGGAGGGGGGAGTGGACTCTCGGTTCTAACGGAATTTGTTGTCGTTCTTCTTTTCGGTGTCTTCTCTCTTTCAGTTGAAACCACGGGCCTGTTTTTGTTTTCTAATTTGGACTAAGGAGAGGAAAAAAAGAAATAAGAAGAAGGCATCATGGCTGTTTTCTGACTTTGAGAGTAGAGAGAAGAGACTCCTCTGGAATTTCCTCTGAAGCRTTTATCCGGACAGCTCCGGTGAGTGGATTTATTTCATTTTTATTGGTATTTAAAAAAAAGATAGCAGCTGCAGAGTTAATTTTTTATCAGGTAAGGACACTCTTCTGCTTTAATTACAGTTAACCCGGGCTTCGTTCTTCTACCTGCGTGTCAAAGTAAGTAACACTTTTTTTTTAAATCTTCAAACACGAGCGCTTTTTTCATGCGTGCGATAAGAGGCTGTATCTGAGGCTTTTATGGATAATGGAGCAGGCTGCGCTCCCAGATGATGGCGAGATGTATGTGGTGTTCAGAAAGCAGAGCCATCTTTGTCCGGAACCACGGTCTGCCCTCCTCTGTCAAAGTTTGGCTTCAAAAAAAGCTGCGCTCACCRTGCTGTCTTTGAACGCACCTCGAAGGGCTCAGGTGATGCGGGGACAGTGGGGGTGGGCTTTGTCTCACCTGCGTTCCGCTGCTTTTATTTGACTGCTGGTTGACAGGTTGTTTCATTTGCATCAAATGCGGATGTTTGTGTAATTTTAAAGCAGCCCTTTCCTCTGCCTCAGACTAGCACTGCCAAGGATTCATATAACGCCAATTAGCAGTGATTTGCAGCCAAACTTTGCTCCTGAGAAAGAGCGAGGGGGGAAAAAGTGCCGCGAAAGGCAGGATAATGAAGTGAAAAGTTTGKGTGCTTCAGTGTTTTGTGGCGATTTGTAAATGAGGCTGCTCACACAAGCAGACCGACGCAGTGACACAGGGCTAAGTGAGCATGACCATGGAGGGGAGGTAATGGCTTTATAGTCTGTCAGTCATGAGGCGTGGAAGAGAGGCTGCTGATGGCTTCAGAAAGAGCTGAACGCAAGGCAGAAAGTGAACCGTTTTTACATCAGAAAATGCAGATGCACACTTTCTGTTGCTCTGTCTGTTTTCGATCACTCTGTGTTTAAATGTTTAATGACTTTGAGGCACTTATATTTTCAACSGACTTGTTTTGCACGAGAACGTGTCAGTCATTTTTTATTTTGAATACACATTTAGTGTCATGGAAACATTTCAGCATGAACTAACATTATCGACCATCACTTGTTTTTAATAGACTGTTTCAACAACAAAATACAATTAAATCTTCTCTCACCAGCCATTTTATTATTCTCATCCTGTTGGGTTGGACGCAGTGCTGCCTTACTTCTTTGTGGCCTTGATTTAACAAACTCATCATGGTAGAGGTGTAAGAAAATATCAAAACACTGAAATATTGTGATATTTCATCCTCAAAAATCACTATTGATGTTTTAAATTAACCCTTAATAGATAGAAACATGAAATGCAGATGCTGTTCTCATTGTTGCTCAGTGCTCTTCTGATTACATACAAATAAACTGAATTTAATCAGATTTTATGCATGTAATGCATGGTGTGCCATTTGTCCAGAGCCTGTAAAAAATAGAATCTTTTGCAGAAAAATTGCAATATATCAATCATATCACAAAATATCGTGATGTATCATATTGTGGCCCGTGTCATGATATGGACCAAATTCTTGCTAATACACAGCCCTCGTGACATTGGTTTACTAGCATCACACAGTCACTGCAGACTTATCAGGACWGTGTGGCTGTGTTGCCCATTGTGCAAATCTCCATCCCACCATTTTCCAAAGGTGCTCAACTGGATCGAGATCTGGTGTCTGTTGAAGCCACTAGAGTCCAGTGAATCCAGACTCATCAGACCAGGCAATGTTTTACCAGTGTTGTTTTCGTTAACGATAACGAAATATTTTCGTTGACGCCCCCTTTTTTCATGACGATGAGACGGTAACGTAATAAACATAGCTCTTTGATGACTAAGACATGACGAAACGTGTGAGTTTTCCTTGTCGAGACTGGACGAAAATGTTGGTGGTCTGTCAATCATTTAGAATGCAGAGTGGAGGGAGGGACAGCGGCGCTGTTACACACACACACACACACACACACACACACACACACAC